GAACCTTAAAGATCAAGTTATTAATTCATTTTCTGAAGAAAGTTTAAAGGACATTTCCTCTCCTGTTCAGTGTTTTTGTAAACATTATTGAGCCAGCAAGTTTTTGAATATTTACAATTCTGCATCTTTTAACCAACTTTTTCTCTTCTGTAAATTGAAGCCTAATTACATTCCATCAATGCAGACAATTCTATTGATGCAAGGTATTCAATGTATGATCTCAAAAAATGATACAATACCTGTGTAAACATTGGACTTGTAAATGCATTCCTATACTACTGACTGTTATGTTGTATGCCACACAGCAGAGAGAAAACACATGCATATTTTTATATCAACTGTCTGACAGCTGTAAGGTTTACCATAAATTTATGTTTGCAAGCTGACCACAGCATTGAGCAGTCCATGTTCCCCGGGGTTGGAGAATAATTGCACTATTTAATTATTTTTGAGTTGGTTTTGTTATGTCCCTTATGAGAAGACCATCTGCTATGCAGTACCTTACCTTGCCCTGTGATACACTTCAGAACTAATAAAATCAATATATTACTGTAGTAACGGAAGCTTTCCTGGAGTATCACATTCTTACTTTACACAAGAATCACAACTGCCGGATATTTTTATACTTTCCATTTTGGTACCCTTCTTATAAAAATAAAAACTGCATTCATATTTTATGATACTAAACAATAAAATCACACAAAAAAGAGGTTATTTGATGGTGAGAAAAGTGAATGATAATCAGCAGGTCTAGGGAGTCCACATGCATTTACAGCAAACTCATCATCCATCATCCTGCCATAGTGTTCCTTGGGCCTTTCCTCTGCATCCCTTGTGCAGTCATCTGTGATGAAGTTGTTACTGGCCAGACCTTTACTTGGTATAGTAATATCTAATAAATAGTTAAAGGTTATGGGAAATGGGATGATATTTTTTTCTTTTTATTAAGAACTGTATGCATATATAGGCTTGGCTTTCCAGTTCTTTTAAACATCTTAATTTTCTTTCCCTTTTCTCTTTTTTTTTTTTTCTTTTTTATACTATGGAATGATCAGAAGCAAAGGATTTTGCAAAAAGGCCTTACAAATCTCTGCTTTGGCCTGAGACAGTTTTATGGCATTGTAGAAATATGAAAATAAATGGAAGAGCTTAAATTTTTAGAAGTACTTTTGTAAATGTGAATGCACTTTTTTAGAAATGCTTCATTGTTGTGGCATTCTATTGCTTAGATATCAAACAGATAAAATATCAAACCCTTCTCTGTTGCAATACTTACTTCATTCACTTGCATGATTATAGTGCCTAAGTTGTTAGCTACTTATAATCCACCTCCTCTTTTTGTGAGTGACGCTTAAATATGCTTGATACATTAATTGTTTTTGGAAAATAGCAACAAGACAAGAAGGAATGTTATGTAGATGGAGTTTTGATGGTTTTGAAATATAGCTTAAACTGAATAGCTCAAGATGTGCAGTCATATTAAATCAATGCTGAAAAGTTACAACTCTAATAAATTGTATTTATGCTAATGGTTGAGTCTGATTTACTGCAGCCATTAAAAGTGAAGAATAGGGGCAATAGTCTCCTTAGAACTGTCATTTTCTCTGTTTTCTATTTTATCCTTCTACAGTTCCACAAAATGTGCCAACTCCCTCAAGAGTTCACAGTATAAATGGTTACAGCATTGAGGTCACCTGGGACAAACCTGCTGGGGTCATAGGTGTAATTGAGAAGTACATTTTGAAAGCATATGAAGAGGATGGTCCCAATGTACCCATCACTAGTGCTGAGCTTGCTGACACTAGTATGCTCACAGGTAAATGTTGTTAAGTACCATTTTTTAGGCACATCTAATAACATGGGAAGCTTATATTTCCTTTTGTTGAGCTATATAAAGTATTCCTCATCTATTTTTGTGTATAGACAGCATAGCTAATGTTTGGAAGGACAGTATTTGTGTCAGCATTCATATACATAGCAATGTAATGACTTCAAAGAGCAATAGCAGTTAAGGTACAACACAAATATAAAGGGCAATATTATTTGAAGTATGCCTTATTACTGATTTGGGGGAAATGTTTTGGGTTTTTCTGTTTGTTTTTGCTTAGTATATGTGATTTTTTTTTTCTTCCCTGTTATTACATGCAGCTCCACCTACATTAGCTCTAAATATGGGTCCCATAAAATATGATTTGATCTGATGTATGAAAGCGCTAGGTATGCTTGCCTAATTTTGATCATATGAACCTAACAGATTTCAGTGGGAACTAGCATGCATTTATGTCAATCACATTCTTTGGTTGATACCACTGGGATTTGGAGGTGGGTTATTATGTAACGAAGGACTTTGGAGCTTTGGGTTTATGGGGTTTGGTCACTGTAGAGCTGTGGGTTTATGGGGTTTGGTCACTGTTGAGCTGTGGGTTGTGGACAGGAGCTGTATGAACCATTGCACATGAGATGTTTCCTGGAGTCTAGGTCTTTTTACCTACAGAAGGCAGGCATTTTTAGGAAGAAATACTGGATTCTCTTTCTGTGGCACAGAGAACATTTTGGGACCTCTGTTCCAGGATAGTGTGGATCTGGCTTTCTGCTCTCTATTAACAGACTCCTTTTGTTGGATGCTACAGAATTGCCTGGGAAGGGAGGACATTACAGATAATGATCTGGATTATGTTGTCTGATGGGGCAATAGTACATAATCTTACTTTCATTGTAACAAACTGTGTCCAATAGTTTCATTTATACACTCCCTAAAATTAATTATATAATTCATAACAATTGAAAACATGCTAATGGCATAATGCTCCAAGCTGTTGTTTTTGTTTGGCTAAGTTTTGGGTCTCAGAAAGTGCTCCAACCCTGAGACAGTATATTATTGCTACTTTTCTGAAGCCCAGGTAATTGGTTTGTGTTGTTTCTCTGCCATGATGTATGTATACGTTTTCAAGAGCAAACATGCACACATCTAATTTTCTTTGGTTTGAAATCTCTTGAATGTGAGTAATGTGCTTACAATACCAAAACTACATGGGTTTTCTATTCTTACTGTGATCTTTTGATGAACTTGTTGGTTTGAATACTCTTTACTGATGCAATACAAATTAGATTAGTAGAAATTAAAGACCATAGTAGAAGCATATGGATTAGATAACTTATTCAGAGCGGATGATCAGAACCAAAATTTTGTTTCAATTTGTTGGCATTGTGCCATAATTTTTTGTCAGCATTATGAAAAATTCTTCACCAGACTGGACAGGTAAGAGGTTATCTGCATGCAGCTTTCAGGAGGCAGAAGAATAAGACTTTCTTTTATATTAAGTGGAGATAGTAAATGGATCCCAGTTCTTTAGTCTCTTATAGCAGACAGCTGTTGAATACTGCAGAATAAAATGACTCTAAGAACTTAAGAATGCTTGTATTCAACCACTGACCTCTCTGACAATGTCAGATTCTAGATATTTAGTACGAAAATATAAGAAATATGCTAGGCATAGAATGAGTCTTTCTGTTAATACAAATTCAGCTGGTAGTTTGTGCAATTCCTGACCTGAAAGTTTCATCTGGACCATCATGCTTAATGGTCTGTGGTAGAACTGTCTTTCTTTTTTTAAATACATTTATGCTTTTGGCTTCTGTAACTTGCTACAGCAGTAAGTTTTCCAATCCAGCTGTGTATGTGTGGAAGGAGTGCTTCCTTTTGTCATTCATAATTGTTACCCAATGGTTTAGTTGTGTATTTTCCAATTTTGGCATTGTATGAAGTATGTAATTTATGTCCTCATGCTGAGGTCAGAGCTGAGACAAATGAAAAATTAAATCATTGGTCTTTAAATTATTTTATCTTCAGCCCGTTGATTTCAGTGAAGCGTACACAGATGGACTAGTCTGTGGACATTGAGAAATGGTTACCCACAGATGTGAGACTCCCAAGAAAAGGTGTGGCTCTCCCTGCTGAATTATCTTTCCTGGTTAATCAGATGTTAACATAAACACAGAACTCCACCAGAAGATGTTATTTTTGCTTACTTTCCCTTTGAATCTGCTGAGATGGGAAATCTTGCTTATTTTGTCCTTAATTTCAGGGAAATTTCTTTAGAAGTTAGTTTGTTGAATTCCATGAGAAGATGCTACAGTAAGCCCAACAACCAGACTTGTTAATGCAGCATGAGAGAGGAAAGCACAACAGCTCTTTGAGGCTTTGCTGATGAAGCAACTCTAATATGTTTCCACTTCCTCCCTCAAATTCTCATTCACTCTTAAGCCTAGGCACCACTTAATCTGCTGCTTGCAAATGTATCTGAGGGCACTGACAACACCCTTTATCTTATTTCTTTCCTTGCACCTTTTTATACCCATCTGTTGTGGTTTATTTTATACTTAGACTGTAAATTCTTTTGAACAATTAGTTCTGTGCAGTAGGGTCCTAACCGGACCACAGTAAGAAAAAAATATTATTAAATTATTATTTAATACCAGCTAGTAACTAAGCATCACAAAGCCACTTCCTTATATACCCTGGTGAGACGGGGGAGAGAATCAAACCCCTTCCTCCTCACCTCAGCTCTATTTGTTGATCATGATGTCATATGGTATGGAATATTCCTTTGGTCAGTTGGGGTCAGCTGTCCTGGCTGTGTCCCCTCCCAGCTTATTGTGTACCCCCAGCCTGCTCGCCGTTGGGGTGGGGTGAGTAGCAGAAAAGGCCTTGACTCTGTGTCAGCACTGCCTAGCAGTAACAGAAACATCTTTGTGTTATCAACACTGATTTCAGCACAAATCCAAAACATAGCCCCATGGTAGCTACTATGAAAAGAATTACCAGCAGAATAGCATCACGTTCCACAGAAGGCTGTCCTCTGTGTGTCAAATTCAGAAGAACCTGTTGTAACCTTGTCAAGAAAAAGAAAAGCTGAGCTAAATATTAAAGGTACAGTAGGTCTTTAAATGAGCATAATCCCACAGCCTATTTCTGACTTCTCAGAAACAAAAATTCCTCAAAATCTGACCCTTGTAATCTTCAAAATGTCAAACTGTTTTTTCACTTTCAGCCAAGAAAGGAATATTCAGCAGATTTAAATCTGCTAAAGTGAGGTTCTGACAGTTGAACTAGGAGTTTATTGAATAAGGTGGTATATTTCAACATGGTCTTCAGGTTCTGTATTCTAGGATGAGAGTATAAAGTTAGAATGTAAATTTTTGCTGTTCAAGGAATGCTGTGCTAGCCTATCTTGCCTTCAAACAAACATGTAGTACCATTGATACACTTTGGATACAGCCAGTCATACTAAACAGAATAATAAAGGACGTACAGGGTCATCACATCAAAGATTTTTTTTCTTAAATGCTGGGTTGCTTTACTCTGCATTCCAGGGCATTCCATGTGCTGGCATCATAAATTGGAATATAAATTAGAATTCGTATTTGATTAAGAAAAGAAGGTGTACTTTCTTTTGGAAATCAGAATATCACAGAATTACAGCATCATTGTGGTTCGAAGGGACCTTCTCAAGCAAGATCAGGTGGAGCAGGTTTCCAGGACCATGTCCGGCTGAGTTTTGAATATCTCTGCAGATGGAGATAATCCTATATGGCAAAACTTTTCCATTGTTTGACCATCCTCACAGTAAAAAGTGGTTTCTTGTCTTCAGGTGAAGTTTCATGTATTTCAGTTTGTGCCCATTGACTCCTGTCCTGTCACTGGGCACTACTGAGAAGAGTCTGCTTCTTGTTTGTTCCCTCTTATCAGATATTTATACACACTGATAGATGACCCTGAGCCTTCTCTTTTCTGAACTGTTCAGTTCCAGCTCTCTCAGTCTCTCCTCATAAAAGACATGTTCCAGTCCCTTTATCATCTTAGTGGCCCATAGTGGCCAAACTTGCTGAGGATGCGCACTTTGCCCATCATCAAGGTCATTAATGAAGATGTTGAATGGTATTGTCCCCAGTATCAGCCTTGGGGTACACCACAGCTGTCTTGCCTCAAACCAGATTGTGTGTCACTGATCACAACCCTCTGACGCTTCTCTTGTCAAACACATGAGAAAAACATTTTATAATCACTCTCATTGCCCTTATTGTAGAATTCAGGAGATTGACAAGCCTCTAAATTTTACCAGCTGCCTATTTTGGACATTAAATAAACTACTGAAACCTGCAAATAATATTTAAGTAAGATATTCTGCAAAAGAATTCAGACACATTTGGTATTCCTCTTACAGATCTCTCTTTTAATTTTGTATGATTTTTGCAGTTCGTCCTGCCTGTATCTTTGCCGCAATAGCCAAGTGCTGAAGTTGTGGCTGCACACGTGATAACGAGAAAATTGTTGTCAACAGCTTCCCCTCTGAATGCTCACAGTCGCTGTTCCCTCCTTCCCTTGACACGTGTTTATAATTACTTTTCACCTTTTAGTCTTTTATGCTAGGCAGATGAATATCTCAGGAAAAGTTAATTTAATGATTTAATATGGTTAATCAAAGGGCTCGGCTGTGCCTTGGCTTTGAAAGCACTCTAGCTGAAGAATCTCTCAGAGAGGAGATGGTGCCTCCTGCCAGTGACTGATAGGTCCAGGCTCACTGGCGGGACCACAGGGCCAGAGAAGGCTCCCTGCCAGACTGGTAAATGTCCATGCTGCAGCAAATGCCACCACCTGAGAGATTTTCCCTCTGTGGGAGGGTTCTGCTGGGCCCAAACAGGCACTGCCAAAGCAGCCTGAGGTGCTGCCACCGGCCCCTGTGCCATGACCTCCGTCTCCAGCGGGCATTGAAAGTCACAGGGCCTGCAAGGGGCAGCCCCACACCAGGCCCCCTA